GAGACTTCGTCATCATGATGCTGCCGTTTAAGCAACGACCCAGCGTCCGGCAGCACATCCTCAAAGGACTGCGGTGAGTAAATGTCCGTGTTAAAAACATGTGACGGGTTCCGCACGACGCAAGCCTTGTCTGCCATGCGGTATGCAGAATTGGTACGTAGGTGTACCCCAGGTGTGCGGAAAAGTGTGCTCCCGTAGGTCTCAAAGTGCACTCTTGGTGTGCACAAAGGTGTACCCCCTTCACGACCATGCGTCTTCGACGACGCATCATCACGGCACTGACCAGGATCATGGGCAGATGTAAGTGCATGCTGATACTGCACCACAAGCACACGTTCTTGCCAAGTCCAATGCGCACGTACTCCTCTCCATCAGTCATGGTGACCTCCGTGTATCCATTAGCAATTGATGTGCGCTCCCTTTTTCAGCAGCTGACAGTAGGAGAGCAGGTTGCTCTTCAGGCCAGGTACGTAGAGGACTTCAGTGTAGCGAACTGTTGTCCCTTGGTACACTTGAAAAAGAGGTGGCCTGACTCCTTGCAGTACCAATACACGAGAGATGAGCGATTTGCATCTCCATCCTTGCCATGCGTTTTCTCCACAATGGACCCCTCCTTCTTGCCCTTAGCAGTTGGAGAAGGTGAGTGGTCTCCACGTGCTTGTCCAGCCATGCGAGGTGGACGCCGGTCATGGTTAGCCTTCGTGATGAGGTCGTGATACCTCTGCTCCTGAATCATCATCCGCTGTAAGGTGAATTTGTCCGTCACGTTGTGTAGCATTGCCGAGTGCCTCATCTCCTCCCAATGTCCCGGTAATCCGGTAAGCAGGTTCAAGGTGAAGGTATCTTCATCCACCATCTTCCCTGGGAGTGCTAATTTATCCCGGATTGCTGTTGCGTGGTTGACGTACTCCTCCAACCTCTCTTGACTCCCCATTTTCATGTTGTCCAACTGCTTCATGAGAGAGACCTTCGCCACCGTATCTTTTGCCTGGTAAGTGTCCATTAAGTACTCCCATGCTTCATAAGCCAGGCTGTAGGATTCCTCGAACATGTCCGGCTGCAGCTGAATCGTGGCGCTCACGCTGTGCAGTAGGACCCAAAAGGCGAGTGCCGCACGCTATGAGTAATCCGCCTGTAGCATTTCCGGCCGCACCATAGCATCGTCAATGTCACCATTTCTCAAGGTAACCGGATACTACAGGGTCAGAAAGAACTCCCACATATTCGTGACGCGAGCGTTCATACGAAACCGCAATGCCCATTCCAAGAAATTTGAGCCGTCAAACGGAGTGGTGGTGAACGCCTTGTCCACCGCTGCTCCCACCATTTTGCGTGACGGCCATTCCTCGTCTTCTTCCGTGTATTCACGTGGAGCGGGGTCGAAGAGAGTAGGCACAGTTGACGATCGAGGTAGTTGTACCGTGCTGCATGTCTCCATTCTGTCCACCAAGATGACGTTCCAGCACTTCCACTTGATCACGTCGCATGACACCACTTGATTGCATTCCGTGTCCCATCCGCCCCATGCTGTCCACAGAGTGTGCGCCGATCGGTGGACGTGGTGCACGCGGAGGTACGACGCTGCTTCCATGAAGGTGAGACCTAGGCATGGGAAGAACTCCAATGGGATGGGAGTTAGTCGCAAGTCGTCGTAGGGGGGAGCACCAATAGTGTAGGAGGCGAATCCCACACCTTCCACACCCACTTGACCATTTCCGTCACTCTGTTGCCCAATCTGTCCACTTCCCGGTCTACCATGCTCCATTGCATGCTCTTCACTCCCATACTCGTCATTCCTCCCTCGTGCTTCCCTTTGCACGGATGATTGAGGTGCGGGATTGGAGCTCCCTTCTCCTTGGACGGATGCATCCCTCCTTTGGGATGACTCTCCTCCTTGAGGTATGCCCATTTCTCCATCACCATCAATCCCAACATAACCATTAGATGCTCAAGTTTGGTTAGTACGCGGAGTGCTTGAATGAGAGTGTCCATGGGTGGACGGATTCACGAACTCAGAGAGTGTTGTCCTTGGCTGGATTGTCATTCCAAACTTGTCCCTTAACGAAGCTTGGAGAGTTGGTGGTGCCCTTGCAATCATGCTTTCTAGGTGCTCATGCTGAGCCATGATGGCTTTTTCAAAAGCCGCATATCCAGCATCCACTTCGCCATCGAAGTGCGCCATAAACTTGATCAAACCGTCCACCAAGTGTGCGCTAAACGCGCGGTTGTACTCTGACTGTATGCAGGTACCTATCCGAAGTGAATGCCAGTAAATTCCTAAACCAAATTTGACAGCATGCCCCCTAGAGTAGCTCTGATACTATGCTACAAAGGCATAGTGCCAGCATAGCGGAAACGTGTTTGTAAAAAGAACAAGATACAAATCTTGCATTGATCATTGAAAAGTAGAAGTGATGTTGATGATGAAGTGACACAACAAGGTATATATGAACCTAGAGGCTTATAAAGAGGACTACACTAAGACCGAACAGCACACTGGTATACAGTTTTCGTTATACTGTACTCGGATTTCCAACACAAGAAACAGGTGGTGGTATAAACCATTCAGTAGCTGCGCCACACCTTGCAACTGTTGCTTCTCTGCTTCAACACTGCCATTTAGAGTAGGCAGAATGGATAGCGTGAAGAAACATAGGGAGGTGGTGTGAGGTGGAAGGGAACCTCTGCAAGGGAATACAAGCAAGTGAACATGGTGAAGGCAAGTATGGGGAGACAGTGATGGCAGCACATGGATGGAAGGGAAGGGAAGGGAGGAGAAGGGATGAGGAAATGAAGTGGTATGGGAAGGGCGGGGCAGGGAGGGAAGAGCAAGAATGGGGAGGGCAGGTGGGTGGAATGAGAGGGAGAAGGCAGGTGGTATGTTGGGAGGAATGCGGTTGGCTCGTGGGGGGAAGCTTTTGGATATGCGGGGGGGAGGAAAGAGGAAAGAGTGAGGGGAGGCGGCTGTAATGTTTGGGGGAAGGTGGAGGATATGTCGGGGGAAAGGCTGGTGGTATGAGGGGGAGGAGGTGAGTGGAGGGATAGGGAGAGGGGGGACAGGGAGAGGGGGGACAGGGAGAGGAAGGACAAGGAGAGGGGGGACAGGGAGAGGGGGGACAGGGAGAGGGGGGACAGGGAGAGGGGGGACAGGGAGAGGAATGACAGGGAGAGGGGGGACAGGGAGAGGAAGGACAGGGAGAGGGGGGACAAGGAGAGGGGGGACAGGGAGAGGGGGGACAGGGAAGAAGGCGAACAGGGAGAGTGCCCGAGGTGGTGAGTCATGGACGTGAAGGAGGGTGGTGCATGGGACTAGTGTGTGATGGGATCCAATGACGGACGGATGGGGCATGAGATGTTTGGCACGGTGCAACGTGGAGGGAGATCTTGGCACGGTGCAACGTGGAGGGAGATTTTGGCACGGTGCAACGTGGAGGGAGATGGGAGGGAAAGTGCGAACGACGAGCAGGGGAAGCGAGGGCCGCGATGGGATGGCGATGAGAGGGTGAGAGCCGGGGGCGACGAGCAGGGGAAACGCGAACGACACGCAAGGGAGGCAAGGGCGACGAGCAGAGTCAGTCACACGACAGGAAGCCGCGAGCGTGACACGTGCGAGCGGGACGTGTAGCGTGCCCGACGTCGACGAGGGTAAGCGTGGGCGACGAGCCTAACTGTGGGAGGCGCGGAGAACATATTGCAACGCAGCGATGTGTGGGCGACGGGCAGAAGCGAGTGAGAGGCAGCAGGGAATAGCGCCCCGGGCAGCGAGGGCGTGCGATTTCTGCCTAAGCAAACGGGGACCGTGTGGGCTCCGGGAAGCAGGCAAGGTCCGCTTCGAAGTAGCGCGAGAAGCGCTAATCAGGTTCTTAGACAAGCGCGCATTCGAGCTGAGTCGTGCGCACGACTGGGCATGAATGACGGGCATATCCTAATGTGCTTGTCAAAGCGTACCAGAAGGTTTTCAAGATTACTGTATTGAGTGTAAACAGTGTTGTATTGGCAGTCGATTCTCTCCAGTTGATGGATTGTCTATCGTTGGCCAATCACAGGTCACCTCTCCCGCTTAATCGAGAGGAGTGTTGTGCACGACGTGGTAACATGGTTTATGGCGAATTCAAGTTCAAGAGTCTTGACTCTGAAAACAACCATGCGGAACTCGGATTGAATCGACTTGGGGATGGGGATCGTTTTTTGGGCTTGTTACCTAAAAAATCGAACAAACCTCTTGTTCGAATTTGGGTTTTTCAGGCCCCAGGTGACACGCCCTTGCATACAGCGCAAGCAGCATGACGAGTATGCAAAATTTCAGCGCACCTGCGGAGATAACGCATCCTGAGTTTGCGGATTGCTCGCACGCTACCTTTCATCGTTCCCGCACGCGCGCGCTTTGACCTACCTCCGTTACTGATCTTCGTGAGCACGACCAACTAGCGACGCAAAGTTTTGTGAAAAGCGTAGATTGCGAGCAAGCCAGCGGCAGAGTCGCATCTAGCGCGGAGGTCGTGGGACCGTTCGCGTGCCAATCAATTATGCAAAATTGTTGGGGATAGTCCGTAACCCGACTGCAAACCTAGCCATGTCCTGATGTGACGAATCCTGGCAAGACTTGCCTCATCCCGGCGGCCGCGGAGTCTCGATTCCCCACCTGCCACTCGACCCTCACCGCAGCTCTAGTGGAGGTTGGTACCGAAAGCACACGGGTTTGCCAATCTCTAGACTTGCGCGATCGAGAACAAGCAGCGCACACCTCTAAGCAGTCACTTCTCGCGTCGGTTGCTCACCATCACTCGCGGCGCGACGCACGTGATCTACCGCGACTTAAGCAAACCCCGTTGCTGCGCATGGAGCACGAGGGAGACGAGCGCATGGAGCCCGAGGGGGACGAGCACTCCCATAGCGAGGCAGCTCAGTTGGAATCCTTCACGAAACTCGAGATGCCGTATGCCCATTACAATGATTGGCTTGTGCTTACTAGGCGCGACGCAGAAACTCTGTAGCCGGGGTTATAGGTGAGGGGTACTGATGAGGGGTGAGGGGTACTGATGAGGGGTGAGGGGTGCTGATGAGGGGTGAGGGTACTGATGAGGGGTGAGGGTACTGATGAGGGGTGAGGGGTACTGATGAGGGGTAAGGGGTACTGATGAGGGTTTGCACTAACGGTGGGTGAGCGATTCGCATTGACGGTCAGCCTGATTTCCGTTCATCACATGTTCACTCTAAACTAGGCTTGGGCATTTGACCCGAACGGGTCGGTTAACCCGACCCGACCCGACCTTTTTGGCGGGTCGGGTATTTAATTCTGATTGGACTACCCGGGCGGGTCGGGTATGTATACCCACGTCGGGTAACAGATACCCGATACCCGACCCGGGTGTTCAAACTCGGGTATTTGATACCCGATACCCGACCTGGTTAAACATGCTTGTGGCTTGCGAAATGCCATAAGAAGCGCCTAACTACTACATTTTCAACTAGGAGTTTAGGTAATTAATGGGAGCGCGCCGTCACATTGTGTGAAATGTAAGATAGATTAAATTTTAATCACATTGTCTTTACGGGTATACCCGGCCCGGCCTCGGGTATACCCAACCCGACCTCGGGCTAAAAATACCCGAGGTGTACAAAGCGGGTCGGGTAACTAACCTGACCCTAAGTACCCGAGGTCGGGTATACCCGACCCGACCCCACCCTACCCTCGTGTAGCCCCAAACGGGTCGGGTCGGGCCAATGCCCAAGCCTACTCTAAACCCTCTTCACACCTCCTCGCCCCTTCCTGCAGCAGGCAACACAGCAGACGGCCGCGTGTAACTGTGGCGTGTTTGTGTTGAAGTATAAGCAGTACCTCGTGCTCACATGCTTTTGGGACCCTGAGCGCATTCACCTCTACAACAGCGCCGATTGGTGGCATGAGGAGCTTTACAATGATCTCCTTGGGTGCAACCTCTATTACAATAGCCGCGTGGCAAGCGACACCTCCTAAAGCAGTGCACCTGTCTCATAAAGCAGTGCACCCGTCTCATAAAGCACTGCAGCCGTCTCATAAAGCACTGCACCCGTCTCATAAAGCTCTGCACCCGTCTCATAAAGCACTGCACCCGTCTTATAAAGCAGTGCACCCGTCTCATAAAGAAGTGCACCCGTCTCATAAAGCAGTGCACCCGTCTCATAAAGCAGTGCACCCGTCTCATAAAGCACTGCACCAGCCTCATAAAGAAGTGCACCCGTCTCATAAAGCAATGCACTCGTCTCATAAAGCAGTGCACCCGTCTCAAAAAGAAGTGCACCCGCCTCATAAAGCACTGCACCCGTCTCATAAAGCAGTGCACCCGTCTCATAAAGAACTGCACCCGTCTCATAAAGCAGTACACCCGTCTCATAAAGCACTGCACCCGTCACATAAAGCAGTGCACCCATCTCATAAAGCACTGGACCCGTCTCATAAAGCAGTGCACCCGTCTCATAAAGCAGTGCACCCGTCTCATAAAGCAGTGCACCCGTCTCATAAACCAGTGGACCCGTGTCATAAAGCAGTGCACCCGTGTCATAAAGCACTGCACCCGTCTCATAAAGCAGTGCACCCGTCTCATAAAGCAGTGCACCCGTCTCATAAAGCAGTGCACCCGTGTCATAAAGCAGTGCACCCGTCTCATCAAGCAGTGCACCCATCTCATAAAGCAGTGCACCCGTCTCATAAATCAGTGCACCCGTCTCATAAAGCAGTGCACCAGTGTCATAAAGCAGTGCACCCGTCTCATAAAGCAGTGCACCCGTGTCATGAAGCAGTGCACCCGTCTCATAAAGCACTGCACCCGTCTCATAAAGCAGTGCACCCGTGTCATAAAGCAGTGCACCCGTGTCATAAAGCAGTGCACCCGTGTCATAAAGCAGTGCACCCGTGTCATAAAGAAGTGCACCCATCTCATAAAGCACTGCACCCGTCTCAGAAGGCAGTGCACCCGTCTCATAAAGCAGTGCACCCGTCTCATAAAGAAGTGCACCCGTCTCATAAAGCAGTGCACCCGTCTCATAAAGCAGTGCACCCGTCTCATAAAGCACTGCACCCGTCTCATAAAGCACTGCACCCGTCTCATAAAGCGGTGCACCCGTCTCATAAAGCACTGCACCAGCCTCATAAAGAAGTGCACCCGTCTCATAAAGCAATGCATCCGTCTCATAAAGCACTGCACCCGTCTCAAAAAAGCACTGCACCCGTCTCATAAAGCAGTGCACCCGTTGTTAGAATCACTAGCTAGGGAACGAGAATGATGATTAGGTGAAGATTGGGGTACAAGACTAGAGTGTCGAGACTATTTGTGTACCCCCTAAGGCTAGCCCCAATATAGCCTAGATATAATTATGCATATGTTTTGACACACCCCCATAGGCGAAATGGGGGATAGCCAGAGCAAGTAGTGGTCACAAGACCAGTCAAGAAGGGCAAAGCAAGCTCAGAACCCTGAGACGACCGCTGAGTAGCCTGGTCGTCAGCCCAAGAAGCGTCTGAGTGCCCAGTGAGTACAACTCGGTCTCGTCCTCCAAGCACTAGCCCCATGCCCGACGTACTGCACAAGTAACGCAACACCCTCTTAGCGGCATCCATGTGCTCCTTCCGGTGACGACCAGGAGCGACATAGCGTGCAAGGATGCTAAGAGGGTATGCAAGGTCAGGTCGAGTGCAGGTCATCAGGTACATGAGGCAGCCCACAAGCTCTGGATACGGGCCACTCGGCTCTACGGACTCATCCGAAGGCAGAGCTGAGAGCGAGTGACCGGTAGGCAGAGGAGTGGCCTGAGGCGAGGAGTACGTGAAGCGGAAGCGCTGAAGGACCTGCTGCACCATGTGTGACTGAGTCAAGGTGATGGTGCGCCGTGCTCTGTCCCGGGTGATCCGCAAGCCAAGATAGCTTGTCAGTTCACCCAGGTCTGTGCACGTGTGTCTCTTCTGCAGCTCGGACTTCACGTGGGCGAGTGCCGTAGTGTCAGCAGTGGCAAAGACCAAGTCGTCGACGTACACGAGGATGTAGAACGGCGGCAGTGAAGTGTCGGTGCGCAGAAACAGCGACGGGTCAGCAGTAGAAGGCGCGAACCCAAGAGCCGCAAGTGTAGTCCTCAGTGTGTCGTGCCACTCACGCGGCGCCTGGCGGAGACCGTAGACTGGCCGTCGGAGGCTCCACTGGGTACCAGGAGGGAACGACCCAGTGAAGCCAGGTGGGCGGCGCAGCCAGATCTCCTCGTGCAGGCTGCCCTGCAAGAAAGCTGTGCTGAAGTCAAGAGAGTGGAGCTCGTAGTCACGCTGAGCGGCGACGTGCAGCAGAACCCGAAGAGTGGTCATCTTCGGGGTCGGGGAGAAGGTCTGGAAGAAGTCAACTCCCTCTCGCTGACTGAAGCCTCGTGCAACGTAACGCGCCTTGAAGACAGGCGGAGAACCCGGCGGCCGCTTCACCCTGAAAATCCACATGCCACTGACGATGTTCGCCCCAGGTGGGGGAACCTCGTCGACGTAGGTGCCTGTGGACTTCCAAGAAGCCATCTCTGTGTCCATGGCTGTCTGCCACTGAGAGGAGTACTCACCCGCGATCGCCTCAGCGTAAGAGCGCGGGGTCGGGATGTCTGGAGCATTCGGGTCTCCCTCAGGGGCAACCAGCATGGACACGAGATGAGGTAACGCAGCGGCAAAGCACTCAAACTCCTCCTGCCTGTCCTCAAGGACGTCCGTGCCAAGAGCACACTCACCCCCGACGGACGAAGGACAGACAGACTCAGACTCAGACTCAGCGACAAGGCTAGCGGCGTAGTCTCGACGACAAGCGGCAGCAAAGTCGACTAACTCAGCGACTAGAGCAGACCCAGCAGAGGACTCAAAGGAAGGGTCAGTGACAACTGTGGCGAGGAGACGCGTGACAGTAGGACTGGCAGCACGAAGGGAGTCAGACTCCGGGTCAGCAAGAGCAGGAAGAGAAGACGCAGGAGGAGACGGCAGAAGGACACGCTGAGGAGCAGTGGAAGGACGAAGTGCCATCTGGTGAGTGCCTGGGACAGCAGGAGGACGCTGACGCGGAACACGACGACCAGTGTGAGCAGCACGAACAGGTGACGCACGACGAGACTCTGGCGACGCAGGACGAGACTCAGGCTCACGACGCTCTATAAGACCTCCAGTCGGACCAGTGTAAGGAGAAGGACCAGGGAGTGGCGAGGCAGGCGGTAACTGTGACTGCGACTGGACAGGCGGAGGACACTTTAAGGAGGGAGCAGGACTAGGGGGAGGCGGCTGACCAAGAACCTGCTGAAGGAGCGGAACGAAGTACGGCCGCGGCCGCGCAGCGCCTCCAGAACCAGCAGAGGCACCACCAGTACCCTCAGCTCCAGGGTCTCCAGCTACACCAGCAGCACCAGCTCCCGGGTCCGCAGCACCAGCAGCAGCTCCAACTCCAGGGTCCTCAGCTCCAGCAGCAGCTCCAACTCCAGGGTCGGCAGCACCAGCAGCAGCTCCAACTCCAGGGTCCGCAGCACCAGCAGCTGCTCCAACACCCGGGTCCGCAGCACCAGCAGCAGCTCCAACACCCGGGTCCTCAGCACCAGCAGCAGCTCCAACGCCCGGGTCCTCAGCACCAGCAGCACCTCCAGTAGTAGGAGTACCTCTAGCAGCTCCAGCAGCACCAGCAGTACCACCAGTACCAGCAGTACCTCCAGCAGCGTCAGTAGCACCAGCACCAGCAGCACCTCCAGGAGCACCAGCAGCACCGCCAGCAGCAGTAGCACCTCCAGCACCAGGGTCCGCGACACTAGGAGCGCCACTCCGGAGACTGCAGCGCCGCGCGTACCACTCTCGGAGCCGCTGGGGAGAGGGCAGCTCCCGCCTAGGAGGGGAAGCACTAGCACCAGCTCCAGCAGCACTCCTAGCTCCAGAGGCACCTCTCCTGAGGCTGCAGTACTGTAAGTACCACTCACGCAGCTGCTGTGAGGAGAGAGCTGCTCCAGGTGTAGTACTCCCAGGCTCAGCACCTCCAAACTCAGCACCCCCAGACTCAGCACCCCCAGACTCAGCACCCGCAGGCTCCGCACCCCCAGGCTCAGCACCCCCAGACTCCGCAACCCCAGGCTTCGCACCCCCAGGCTCCGAAACCCCAGGCTCCGCACGCTCAGGCTCAGCACCCCTAACAGGACGAGAGTCGACAGCTACCTCGACAGGCTCAACCGGGTCTACCTGGGACACACCTGAGGGAGCGGCACCCTGAGGGGGGAGGGGGTCTACCATAGCAGCACCTGGGGCGAGGAAGAGAGGCGGGGGGGGGGGAGCGGGGCAGTGCGGTAGGGGAAGAGGCGGTAGTAGGGCACGGACTCATCAAAAGTGACGTCCTGAGAGGGCAGGACACGGCGCGAGGTGGCGTGGTAAAACTGCCAACCAGACGCGTCCGGGACAAAGCCAAGGAAGACACAAGGAACAGCGCGGGAGGAGAGCTTGTCCGCGGACGTATCGCGAACAAAAGCTCGAGATCCCCAGACCCGAAAACGCGACGCATCGCCAACCTCTCCCGTCCAACGCAGTGTCGGGGAAGTCTCCGGCAATGAGACACGGGGCCAGAGGTTGAGCTGATGCGCAGCGTATCGGACCGCAAACGGCCACAGAAAGTGGGGGGCAGCCGCATGGATCAAGGAGGTACGAGCGACCTCCATGACCAAGCCAATGCGGCGCTCAGCAACCCCATTCTGCTGTGGAGAGGCCGGAAGCGTGAACGACTGGCGGATGCCGTGCTCCGCACAGTAGGCTGCCAAGAGGTCGGAGGAGAACTCACCACCTCTGTCAGAGTGCAAGCGCAGGACAGGAAAGTCCGAGTGGAAACGTCGCTGAGCTGGAGACGAGAAGCGCGGATCCAAGGGATCAAAACATCAGGGACCTCACCCTTGGTGCGCAAGGGGAAGACCGTGGTGTAGCGCGAGTAGTCGTCAACAACTATCAGGAAGTACCTTTCCTGACCCTGACCACGGACGCGGGCTGGGCCCCACACGTCCAAGTGGAGCATCTGCAAGGGAGCAGTCATCGGGGGAAACGAGGAGGAGTGAGGAGCGGCGCGCTGCCGCCCCTCGACACAGGGAAGACAGGGAGGAGCAGGCGAGGGTGGGAGGGGAGGGAGAACCGTGGGAAGACCAGAGACAAGGTACCGTTTATGCATGGCACGAAGGCGCTGCACAGACGGGTGACCAAGTCGGTGGTGCCAGAGGACGGTCTCGTGCGCTAGAGAGCGACACGAGCAGGGGGCCGACAGCTGACCTGACGCAGACGCAGACGCAGCTACCTGAGGGGACTCAGTGGTCAGTGTGTACAGGTCCGACCCCGGCTGCCGAGTGAAGGTAGCCAGGTGACGGCCCGTCCGAGCACACGTGCAGTGTGTCACGCGCTCGTAGGCAGGGGTGAACTGGTGAACACCCCCGTCCTGGAGCGCACAACCCGCCACCAAGTTCGTAGAGAACGAGGGGAGGTGGAGACCTGACAGTGTGCCCGACGGGACCGCAGGACAAGGAAGGACAGTGGAGGAGGTCGCAATGACCGGACCCCCAGAGGGGTCAGCGAGGGAGACAGCAACTGGCCAAGCAAGCGGCTCAAGGGCAGTGCGGTCACGAAAGAAACACCGAGAAGCACCTGAGTCCAGTTTGAAGGTGTGTAGTGCCTCAGTCGACTCAGTACCAGGGGGCGCAGACTCACTAGCACCTAGAGCAGCAGCCTCACCAGCACCTAGAGCGGTAGCCTCACTGGTCCGAATGCCCGGGTCGGGCGGAACACGCAGGTACTGAGCACCCTCTCCACTAGTAGACATCACATACATGGCAGTGAGAATAGCATCAAAGTCTAGAGCATAGATATCAATGTTCTTTTTCATCAGATCAGCCCAGCGGGGCAGCTCAGTGGCATCAGGGAACTGAGTACGCCAAGCGTCGTCGAGGCGAGAGAAGCAGCGCTGCGTGGTGTGCGCCCTCCCACACGTCTGACCAGTGCGGTCACCAGTGCGGATGACGTACGTGCAGCTAAGGCCACCCCCCCCCCCCGTGCTGAGAGTACCACTCACGGAGCTCCTGGGGCGACGGAGTGCGCTGCTGGCTCTGGCCACTGCCAGCGCCTCCACGACCACCACCGCCGCCGCCACCTCCTCGACCACCCCCTCCTCTGCCGCCGCCACGACCACCGCCGCCCCCACCACCGCCCCCGCCCCTGCCACCTCCCCCGCCGCTGCCGCCACCACCCCCACCGCTGCCACTAGTCCCTCCAGCCCCACCACCACCCCCACCGCCTCCACCGCCCCCACCACCACCTCCCCCGCCGTCACCTCCGCCTCCCTTGCCCCCTTTGCCTTTGCCGCTGCGGCGCCAGCTCGAAGTGGACGCAGTCCCGACCTTCTCAGCACCAAGGAGGTCGGCAGCAGAAGCAGAGGCTATAGAGGGAAGAAGGGGGGAAGGGGAACACCCCTCAAAGAAAGGGGTGCGGGGGTCGCCACGAGAGGCACCTACAGCGACTATGCTAGCCTCAGCTGCAAGTAGTTCCTTCTCGAGGAGGGCAATGGTGAGCTCAGTGGGGCAGCGAGATAGGAAGTGATCCTTGACTGCACGCAGAGTGTCAGGGAGGCGGGTGACTAGGTGGTAGAGAGTGAGCAAGAGCGGGGGGGGGTTCGTGGCAAGAAACTCATCGGGCATAGCGGCACGGAAGCGGGCCTCACTAGTACGGAGGTGCGTGATGAGGTCAGCGACTGTGTGGAAAGAGGCCAGGTCGGGGAACAGGTAGGGGAGTGAGAGACGGCCTAGCGCGGCAGAGGCAGGTGAGGAGTAGCGGGCAACGACAGCGGTGTACAGTGCCTGTGCAGTCTTGTGCTGGCCAAAGTGCTCGCGCTCATCTATCGGCAGGGAGTTGCGAATAGCAAAGCGAGCGTGGGCGTCACGAGTCTGCCACTGTGAGCGGGCAGTGCTGTCAGCAGTAGCAGCAGGGGCAGTGACATGGCCTAAGGCGTGATCGTACAGTGAGATGTCTTCCTTGGCAGTGAGCTGTAGGAATAGGTGCAGGTCATCGAGCCAGGTGTCAAACTTCACTGGGCGGCCCTCAGCATCGAAAGCTAGCACAGGAGGGCTAGCCATAGTGACAGTAGGAGCAGTAGCAGTAGTAGCAGTAGTGACAGTAGCAGTGACAGAATCAGGGGCGCGGCTCGGTAGGGCGGCGCGGCTCGGGCCGGGTGACGCGGTTCGGTGGGGCGGCTCGGCTCGGCTAGGCAGCGGCTACTCGAGGTGGGGCACGTGAGGGCGTGCAGGGCAGAGTGGGGCGGTCCGCACGGGGCACGAGGTGGCGAGCTAGCTAGGGCGGGGCCTGGTCGCACGGGGCCAGCAAGGGCGGGCTAGTGGGGCGGGGCCGGTACGCTAGGGGCACGCGAGGGCGTGCAAAGCGGCTGCTCTGGGTCCAGGGGCGGCTGCACCAGGGGCGGCTGCTTCAGGGGCCAGGGGCGGCTGCTCTGGTTCCAGGGGCGGCTGCTCGAGGGTCCAGGGGCGGCTGCACCAGGGGCGGCTGCTTCAGGGGCTGTAGCAGCAGTAGCTTCAGTCAGGAGCAGCTGCAGTAAGCGCTGGAGTAGGAGCTGCAGCAGTAGCACTAGCTGTAGCAAGTGTAGTAGTAGGAGCTGCAGCAGTAGCACTAGCTGTAGCAAGTGTAGTAGTAGGAGCTGCAGCAGTAGCACTAGCTGTAGCAAGTATAGTAGTAGGAGCTGCAGCAGTAGCACTAGCTGTAGCAAGTGTAGTAGTAGGAGCTGCAGCAGTAGCACTAGCTGTAGCTGGAGTAGTTTCAGACAATAGTAGCTGTAGCAAGTGCCGTAGTAGCAGTGGCAGCAGTAGCACTAGTTGTAGCAGCACTAGCTTCAGTAGCAGCAGCAGTGAGTAACAGTAACACGGGCCGCGTGCGGGCCAGTCGCGGGCTGTAAGGGCTGCACGCGGGCCTGACGCGGGCTTTACGCGCTGGGTGCGAGCCTGACGTGAGCTGTACGGGCTGCGCGACGGCCTGGCGCGGGCTGTACGGGCTGCGCGACGGCCTGGCGCGGGCTGTACGGGCTTCGCGACGGGCCTACGCGGGCTGTACAGGCTTCGCGACGGGCCTACGCGGGCTGTACGGGCTTCGCGACGGGCCTACGTGGGCTGTACGGGCTTCGCGACGGGCCTACGCATTCAGGGGGGGGTCGCACGTGACTAGGAGGGAAAAAAATCGCGTCTAGGGAACCGTCTCGCCTAGAGCACGGTTTCAAATTTCGCATTTCTCCTAGGGGCGCGACTCGGGTAGTAGATCGAAATAGTAGTGGTGGGCCCTTTTTAAAAAATCGGTCCTAAGGAGCATTGTGCTCTTAATACCATGTTAGAATCACTAGCTAGGGAACGAGAATGATGATTAGGTGAAGATTGGGGTACAAGACTAGAGTGTCGAGACTATTTGTGTACCCCCTAAGGCTAGCCCCAATATAGCCTAGATACAATTATGCATATGTTTTGACACCCGTCTCATAAAGCAATGCACCCGTCTCATAAAGCACTGCACCCGTCTCATGAAGCGGTGCACCCGTCTCATAAAGCACTGCACCCGTCTCATAAAGCGGAGCACCCGTCTCATAAAGCACTGCACCCGTCTCATAAAGCGGTGCACCCATCTCATATAGCAGTGCACCCGTCTCATAAAGCAGTGCACCCGTCTCATAAATCAGTGCACCCGTCTCATAAAGCAGTGCACACGTCTCATAAAGCAATGCACCCGTCTTATAAAGCAGTGCGCCCGTCTCATAATGCACTGCACCCGTCTCATAAAGCAGTGCACCCGTCTCATAAATCAGTGCACCCGTGTCACAAAGCAGTGCACCCGTGTCATAAAGCAGTGCACCCGTCTCATAAAGCACTGCACCCGTCTCATAAAGCAGTGCACCCGTCTCATAAAGCAGTGCACCCGTCTCATAAAGCAGTGCACCCGTGTCATAAAGCAGTGCACCCGTGTCATAAAGCAGTGCACCCATCTCATAAAGCAGTGCACCCGTCTCATAAAGCACTCCACTCGTCTCATAAAGCAGTGCACCCGTCTCATAAAGCAGTGCACCCGTCTCATAAAGCACTGCACCCGTCTCATAAAGCGGTGTACCCGTCTCATAAAGCATTGCACCAGACTCATAAAGAAGTGTACCGGCTCATAAAGCAATGCATCCGTCTCATAAAGCACTGCACCCGTCTCAAAAAGCACTGCACCCATCTCATAAAGCAGTGCACCCGTCTCATAAAGCACTACACCAGCCTCATAAAGAAGTGCACCCGTCTCATAAAGCACTGCACCCATCTCATAAAGCGGTGCACCCGTCTCATAAAGCACTGCACCCGTCTCATAAAGCGGTGCACCCGTCTCATATAGCAGTGCACCCGTCTCATAAAGCAGTGCACCCGTCTCATAAAGCAGTGCACCCGTCTCATAAAGCAGTGCACACGTCTCATAAAGCAATGCACCCGTCTCATAAAGCAGTGCACCCGACTCATAAATCAGTGCACCCGTCTCATAAAGCACTACACCCGTCTCATAAAGCAGTGCGCCCGTCTCATAAAGCACTGCACCCGTCTCATAAAGCAGTGCACCCGTCTCATAAATCAGTGCACCCGTGTCATAAAGCAGTGCACCCGTGTCATAAAGCAGTGCACCCGTGTCATAAAGCAGTGCACCCGTGTCATAAAGCAGTGCACCCGTCTCATAAAGCACTGCACCCGTCTCATAAAGCAGTGCACCCGTCTCATAAAGCAGTGCACCCGTGTCATAAAGCAGTGCACCCGTCTCATAAAGCAGTGCACCCATCTCATAAAGCAGTGCACCCGTCTCATAAAGCAGTGCACCCGTCTCATAAAGCAGTGCACCAGTGTCATAAAGCAGTGCACCCGTCTCATAAAGCAGTGCACCCGTGTCATAAAGCAGTGCACCCGTCTCATAAAGCAGTGCACCCGTGTCATAAAGCGGTGCACCCGTCTCATATAGCAGTGCACCCGTCTCATAAAGCAGTGCACCCGTCTCATAAAGCAGTGCACCCGTCTCATAAAGCAGTGCACACGTCTCATAAAGCAATGCACCCGTCTCATAAAGCAGTGCACCCGACTCATAAATCAGTGCACCCGTCTCATAAAGCACTACACCCGTCTCATAAAGCAGTGCGCCCGTCTCATAAAACACTGCACCCGTCTCATAAAGCAGTGCAACCGTCTCATAAATCAGTGCATCCGTCTTAAAAAGCACTACACCCGTCTCATAAAGCACTGCACCTGTCTCAAACAGAAGTGCACCCGTGTCATAAAGCAGTGCACCCGTCTCATAAAGCAGTGCACCCGTCTTATAAAGAACTGCACCCGTCTCATAAAGCGGTGCACCCGTCTCATAAAGCACTGCACCAGCCTCATAAAGAAGTGCACCCGTCTCATAAAGCAATGCATCCGTCTCATAAAGCACTGCACCCGTCTCAAAAAGCACTGCACCTGTCTCATAAAGCAGTGCACCCGTCTCATAAAGCTCTGCACCAGCCTCATAAAGAAGTGCACCCGTCTCATAAAGCAATGCATCCGTCTCATAAAGCACTGCACCCGTCTCAAAAAGAAGTGCACCCGTCTCATAAAGCAGTGCACCCGTCTCATAAAGCAGTGCACCCGTCTCATAAAGCACTGCACCCGTCTCATAAAGCGGTGCACCCGTCTCATAAAGCACTGCACCAGCCTCATAAAGAAGTGCACCCGTCTCATAAAGCAATGCATCCGTCTCATAAAGCACTGCACCCGTCTCAAAAAGCACTACACCCGTCTCATAAAGCAGTGCACCCGTCTCATAAAGCAGTGCACCCGTCTCATAAAGCGGTGCACCCGTCTCATAAAGCACTGCACCCGTCTCATAAAGCGGTGCACCCGTCTCATAAAGCACTGCACCCATCTCATAAAGCGGTGCACCCATCTCATATAGCAGTGCACCCGTCTCATAAAGCAGTGCACCTTTCTCATAAAGAAGTGCACCCGTCTCATAAAGCAGTGCACCCGTCTCATAAATCAGTGCACCCGTCTCAAAAAGCACTACACCTTGTTAGAAAGAAGAAGTGTTTGACTAGAAAGAAGTGAGAGTACAAATAGAGTTGTGAACCCCCTATAGGCTAACCCACTATAGCCTACACAAATATAACAAGTATAATGTTTGACACACCCCCGTAGGCGAAGTGGGGGAGAGCAAGGGGTCACAAGACCAGTCAAAGCAAAGCAAGGCAAAACAAGCTCAGGGTGGATCTCAAGGATACCACACAAATTCCGAGCACAAGCAAGCGGTCACAAGACCAGTTCACATGCAGTTTGATAATATAACAAAAGGTACAGTGATCACAACCTAACAAATGTAAGCATGCAGGTATATATATAGAGATCACAGTACAAGCAGAGTCAAGAAGTGAGCAAGTGAGGGAGAGTAGGCACAAGGCCTAGAACAGTACAGAATCGCTGATGGTCACAAGGCTGTAGTGCCTTGGTGAACACATCAGCAGTGTTGGCCCGAGTGGCCACGTAACGCAGACGAAGCTGACCGCGCTGCTGCAGCTCTCGAGCAAGGAAGTAGCGCAGAGCGATATGCTTCGTTCTGTGCTCCAGTCTGTGCTCCTCACACAAGGCAATGGCAGCCTTGTTGTCGACGTACAGCACTGGAGGAGAACGAGGCCGCTCTCCCAAGTCGGTCAGCAGGTAGGTGAGCCAGCGTAGCTCCTGGGCAGCCATGGCTGTGGCGTAGATCTCAGCCTCACAACTGGAGTTGAGAACAGAAGAAGAGCGTGTAGAACGCCAAGAAACTGAACCAGAGCCAAGGCTGAAGGTGTAACCCTTAGACGACCGCTGAGTAGCCTGGTCGTCCGCCCAAGAAGCGTCTGAGTGCCCAGTGAGTACAACTCGGTCTCGCCCTCCAAGCACTAGCCCCATGCCCGACGTACTGCACAAGTAGCGCAACACCCTCTTAGCGGCATCCATGTGCTCCTTCCGGTGACGGCCAGGAGCGACATAGCGTGCAAGGATGCTAAGAGGGTATGCAAGGTCAGGTCGAGTGCAGGTCATCAGGTACATGAGGCAGCCCACGAGCTCTGGATACGGGCCACTCGGCTCTACGGACTCATCCGAAGGCAGAGCTGAGAGCGAGTGACCGGTAGGCAGAGGAGTGGGCTGAGGCGAGGAGTACGTGAAGCGGAAGCGCTGAAGAACCTGCTGCACCATGTGTGACTGAGTCAAGGTGATGGTGCGCCGTGCTCTGTCCCGGGTGATCCGCAAGCCAAGATAGCTTGTCAGTTCAACCAGGTCTGTGCACGTGTGTCTCTTCTGCAGCTCCGACTTCACGTGGGCGAGTGCCGCAGTGTCAGCAGTGGCAAAGACCAAGTCGTCGACGTACACGAGGATGTAGAACGGCGGCAGCGAAGTGTCGGTGCGTAGAAACAGCGACGGGTCAGCAGTAGAAGGAGCGAACCCAAGAGCCGCAAGTGTAGTCCTCAGTGTGTCGTGCCACTCACGCGGCGCCTGTCGGAGACCGTAGACTGGCCGCCGGAGGCTCCACTGGGTACCAGGAGGGAACGACCCAGTGAAGCCAGGTGGGCGGCACAGCCAGATATCCTCGTGCAGGCTGCCCTGTAGGAAAGCAGTGCTGAAGTCAAGAGAGTGGAGCTCGTAGTCACGCTGAGCAGCGACGTGCAGCAGAACCCGAAGAGTGGTCATCTTCGGGGTCGGGGAGAAGGTATGGAAGAAGTCAACTCCCTCTCGCTGACTGAAGCCTCTAGCAACGTAACGCGCCTTGAAGACAGGCGGAGAACCCGGCGGCCGCTTCACCCTGAAAATCCACATGCCACTGACGATGTTCGCCCCAGGTGGGGGAACCTCGTCGACGTAGGTGCCTGTGGACTTCTAGGAAGCCATCTCTGCGTCCATGGCTGACTACCACTGTGAGGAGTAGGGACCCTCGATCGCCTCAGCGTACGATCGAGGAGTCGGGATGTCTGGTGCATCCGGGTCTCCCTCAGGGGCAACTAGCATGGACACGAGATGGGGCAAAGCAGCGGCAAAGCACTCAAACTCCTCCTGCCTGTCCTCAAGGACGTCCGTGCCAAGAGCACTCTCACCCCCGACGGACGGAGGACAGACAGACTCAGACTCAGCAACTAGGCTAGCGGCGTAGTCCAGACGACAAGTGGCAGCAAAGTCGACAAGCTCAGCAACTAAGGCAGACGCAGCAGTGGACTCAAAGGAAGGGTCAGTGACAGCAGTAGCCAGGAGACGCGTGACAGTAGGACTGGCAGCACGAAGGGAGTCAGACTCAGGGTCAGCAAGAGCAGGAAGAGAGGACGCAGGAGGAGACGGGAGAGGGACACGCTGGGGAGCAGTGGAAGGACGAAGCGCCATCTGGTGAGTGCCTGGGACAGCAGGAGGACGCTGATGCTGGACACGACGACCAGTGTGAGCAGCACGAGCAGGCGACGCTCGACGAGACTCAGGCGATGCAGGACGAGACTCAGGCTCACGACGCTCCGTAAGACCTCCAGTCGGACCAGTGTAAGGAGCAGGACCAGGGAGAGGGGAGGCAGACGGTAACTGTGACTGCGACTGGACAGACGGAGGACACGCTAAGGAGGGAGGAGGCTGACCAAGAACCTGCTGAAGGAGCGGAACGAAGTACGGCCGCGGCCGCGCAGCGTCTCCAGAACCAGCAGAGACACCAGCACCAGGGTCCGCAGCACCAGCAGCAGCACCAGCTCCAGAGTCCTCAGCACCAGCAGCAGCTCCAACGCCCGGGTCCGCAGCACCAGCAGCAGCTCCAACGTCAGGGTCCACAGCACCAGCAGCAGCTCCAACTCCAGGGTCCGCAGCACCAGCAGTAGCTCCAACGCCCGGGTCCTCAGCACCAGCAGCAGCTCCAACGCCCGGGTCCTCAGCACCAGCAGCACCACCAGCAGCGTCAGCAGCACCTGCACCAGCAGCACCTGCACCAGCAGCACCTCCAGCAGCAGCAGCACCTCCAACACCAGGGTCCGCGACACTAGGAGCTCCACTCCGGAGACTGCAGCGCCGCGCGTACCACTCTCGGAGCCGCTGGGGAGAGGGCAGCTCCCGCCGCGGAGGGGAAGCACTAGCACCGGCTCCAGCAGCCCTCCTGGCTCCAGAAGCACCTCTCCTGAGGCTGCAGTACTGTAAGTACCACTCACGCAGCTGCTAAGAGGAGAGAGCTCCTCCAGGTGCAGCACTCCCAGGCTCAGCACCTCCAGACGCAGCACCCCCAGACTCAGCACCTCCAGACTCAGCACCCCCAGACTCAGCACCTCCAGACTCAGTACCCCCAGGCTCAGCACCCCCAGACTCCGCAACCCCAGGCTCCGCAGCCCCAGGCTCCGCACCCCCAGGCTCCGCTCGCTCAGGCTCAGCACCCCTAGCAGGACGAGAGTCGACAGCTACCTCGACAGGCTCAACCGGGTCTACCTGGGACACACCTGAGGGAGCGGCACCCTGAGGGGGGAGGGGGTCTACCACAGCAGCACCTGGCGCGAGGAAGAGAGGCGGGGGGGGGGGAGCGGGGCAGTGCGGTAGGGGAAGAGGCGGTAGTAGGGCACGGACTCGTCAAAAGTGACGTCCTGAGAGGGCAGGACCCGACGCGAGGTGGCGTGGTAAAACTGCCAGCCAGACGCATCTGGGACAAAGCCCAGGAAGACACAAGGAACAGCGCGGGAGGAGAGCTTGTCCGCGGACGTATCGCGAACAAAAGCTCGAGATCCCCAGACCCGAAAACGCGACGCATCGCCAACCTCTCCCGTCCAACGCAGTGTCGGGGAAGTCTCCGGCAAGGAGACACGGGGCCAGAGGTTGAGCTGATGCGCAGCGTAGCGGACCGCAAACGGCCACAGAAAGTGGGGGGCAGCCGCATGGATCAAGGAGGTACGAGCGACCTCCATGACCAAGCCAATGCGGCGCTCAGCAACCCCATTCTTCTGTGGAGAGGCCGGAAGCGTGAACGACTGGCGGATGCCGTGCTCCGCACAGTAGGCTGCCAAGAGGTCGGAGGAGAACTCACCACCTCTGTCAGAGTGCAAGCGCAGGACTGGAAAGTCCGAGTGGAAACGCTCGCTGAGCTGGAGACGAGAAGCGCGGATCCAAGGGATCAAAACATCAGGGACTTCACCCTTGGTGCGCAAGGGGAAGACCGTGGTGTAGCGCGAGTAGTCGTCAACAACTATCAGGAAGTACCTCTCCTGACCCTGACCCCGGACGCGGGCTGGGCCCCACACGTCCAAGTGGAGCGTCTGCAAGGGCGCAGTCGTCGGGGGAAACGAGGAGGAGTGAGGAGCGGCGCGCTGCCGCCCCTCGACACAGGGAAGACAGGGAGGAGCAGGCGAGGGTGGGAGGGGAGGGAGAACCCTGGGAAGACCAGAGACAAGGTACCGTTTGTGCATGGCACGAAGGCGCTGCATGGACGGGTGACCAAGTCGGTGGTGCCAGAGGACGGTCTCGTGCGCCAGAGAGCGACACGAGCAGGGGGCCGACAGCTGACCTGACGCAGACGCAGACGCAGCTACCTGAGGGGACTCAGTGGTCAGTGTGTACAGGTCCGACCCCGGCTGCCGAGTGAAGGTAGCCAGGTGACGGCCCGTCCGAGCACACGTGCAGTGTGTCACGCGCTCGTAGGCAGGGGTGAACTGGTGAACACCCCCGTCCTGGAGCGCACAACCCGCCACCAAGTTCGTAGAGAACGAGGGAAGGTGGAGACCTGACAGTGTGCCCGACGGGACCGCAGGACAAGGAAGGACAGTGGAGGAGGTCGCAATGACCGGACCCCCAGAGGGGTCAGCGAGGGAGACAGCAACTGGCCGAGCAAGCGGCTCAAGGGCAGTGCGGTCACGAAAGAAACAGCGAGAAGCACCTGAGTCCAGTGTG